GCTAACATTTCCTGTTTTGCCTATTTCTCTCCATAACACCTAACCAACGCCATGGCAGAGGCGTAGGTGGCAGGTTACTAAAGATTTTCTGTTTCATATTAATGGCCCTAACCAGTGAAGAAAACTCTCCAAGGAAAACAAGCAGTCACTCACATATGAGGAATTAATTATTACAGGATGCACAGGAAGAGGTTACCAGCACTATGATTTATTCCCCCCAAAGGGCATGTCAAAGGTCCCATTAATTTATAATTTCACATTCAGAGCTCCTTTCATCCAAGAAGCCCGGAACTACTTTATAAGCTTATTAATCTTCACAAATAACGTGTGTGAATATTAACTACCACCCTCTGCACAGCACTCGAGGGCTAATTTGCAGAGAGAGGGCAAGGACGCCTTGGTGCAGCCATGAGATGCCTGAGGAGCCAAGGTAAGTGAAACTCACTTTTCTGGCACATTCCCACCTACACCTGCGCCCCTCTGCCTTCGTAAAGGCGCTGCCTCGACCTTGGCAGGACATCAGGCATCTAAATGGTACTCCACTCGGCAGAGGAGGAAACGCAGGCCCTGAGAAGGGACCTGCCCGTGTCATGTGGGTGAGTGCGGCCTGCAGGCAGTCACTGGGCTCAGAGCAATGCTCATCCTGGGATAATACTCCCTCCCATCTTGCAGGGGGGCACAGCGCCAGGGGGCTAAGCTGACCCCTCCCAGCAGCAGCTCCCTCCACATCATACTGCTCATTTTCTACTTTGAATCCACAGCTATCAGGCATTATTGGGCACATACAGAATGTCTGTTGATCTAAATTTCTTGCCAGGGTCTCTGATTCAAAAACATCTTTTCCCATTATGAAAGACACCCAGCCATCCTAAGGGTGATTTCAGGGATCACATTCATCAGCAGAAAAATGTAGTCACTGCTGGGTTACTCTGAACTCTGACCCAACTGTTCTCTGTAGTTGTGTTTGATTTCCCCTGCATGTCGTTCGTTACACTAAATACAAATTCCAATAAATACATCTGCAACTCTTCATCATGAAAGAGGTTTTTTGTTTTTTTTTTTTTTAAGATTTTATTTACTTATTTGACAGGTAGAGTTACAGACAGAGAGAGACAGACAGAGAGAAAGGTCTTCCTCCTACTGGTTCACTCCCCAAATGGCTGCAATGGCCAATCCGAAGCCAGGAGCCAGGTGCTTCTTCCTGGTCTCCCATGCAGGTGCAGGGGCCCAAGGACTTGGGCCATTCTCTACTGCTATCCCAGGCCATAGCAGAGAGCGGGATCAGAAGAGGAGCAGCCAGGACTAGAACCAGCACCCATACAGCTTGCCAGCGCTGCAGGCAGAGGATTAACCCAGTGCGCCATGGCGCTGGCCCCCTTGAAAGAGTTTACATTATTGTTATTATTCATTTCTTACTTTCCTTTGTATCCCCAGGGTCTCCAATGTTTTAAAAAAGAATTTTTTGTTATTGATTTTTCATCTTTTTTTTCTCCTTCTCTAAATAGCAGTCATATACTTAAGATTTTAACATATTCTTAAAAAATCAGGGGTGGGCGTTCGGCTGGAAGTTAAAGATTCAAATCTTGGCTCCCTTTTCCTTTTCTTTCTTTCTTTTTTTTTTTTTTTTTAAGATTTATTTATTTGAAAGAGTTACACAGAGAGAGAAGGAGAGGCAGAAAGAGAAAGAGAGAGAGAGGTCTTCCATTCGCTGGTTCACTCCCCAGATGGCTGCAATGGCTGGAGCTGCACCTATCCGAAACCAGGAGCCAGGAGCTTCTTCAGGGTCTCCCACATGGGTGCAGGGGCCCAAGGACTTGGGCCATCTTCTACTGCTTTCCCAGGCTACAGCAGAAAGCTGGATCGTGGAAGAGGAGCAGCCCAGGCTGGAGTCCCAGTGCCCATATGGGTTGCCAGGGTTTTAACCCTCTGCGCCCCTTGGCTCCCTTTCTGATTCAACTTCTTGATAATGCGTATACTAGAGGCACCAGATGACCCCTCAAGTGCTTGGGTCCTTCCACCCAGTAGGAGACCTAATTCGAGTTCCAGGCTTCTGGCTTCAGCCTGGCCCAGCCCTGGCTGTTGCAGATATTTGGGAAGTGAGCCAGCAGATGGAAGGATCGCTGTCTCTGTATCTCTGTTCTTAAATAAATTAAAAATCAATTGTTTTAAGGAGCTGGTGTTGTGGCACAGTGGATTAAGTTGCCGTCTGTAATGCCAGCATCCCGTATAGGTGCCATATCAAGTCCCAGTTGTTCTACTTCCAATTCAGCTCCCTGTCAATGCACCAGAGAAAGCAACAGAGTGGTCCAAGTACTTCAGCCTCTGCTACCCATGCAGGTGACCCAAATGAAGCTCCAGGCTCCTGGCTTTGCCCTAGTCATTGCAGTCAATGGGGAATGAACCAGTTGGTCAAAGATCTCTCTCTTTTTTGCTGCCTCTCCCTCTCTCTGTAACTTTCAAACACATAAATAAATTAAAAAAAAAATTTGAAATAGGGGCTGGCATCATGCTGTAGGAGATTAAACCACTGCCTGTGATGCCAGCATCCCATATGGGTACCAGTTTGAGTCCCAGCTACTCCAGTTCCAATGCAGCTCCCTGCTAATGGCCTAGGAAAGCAGTGAAGATGGCCTAAGGCTTAGGCCCCTGCATCCACGTGAGAAACCTGGAAGAAACTCTGGGCTCCTGGCTTTAGCCTCGCCAAGCCTCAGCGGTTGCAGCCATCTGGGGAGTGAACCAGCAGATGGGAGACCTGTATCTCCCTCTTTGTAACTCTCTTTCAAATAAATAAAAAATAAATATTAAAAAAGGCTTTAAAGGAGCCAGTACTGTGGTGTTGCGGGTTTAAACCTGGCCTGAAGTGCCAGCCTCCCACAAGTGGCTGCTCCACTTCCAATCCAGCTCTCTGCTATGGCCTGGAAAAGGAATAGAAGATGGCCCAAGTCATTGGGGCCCTGCACCTTCGTGGGAGACCCAGAAGAAGCTCCTGATTCAGATTGGCGCAACTCCAGCCAGTGTGGCCAATTGGAGAGTGAACTAGCAGATAGAAACTGTGTGTGTGTGTGTGTGTGTGTGTTTTGTGTCTGTGTGTATGTTAACTCTATCAAGTAAATAAATAAATCTTAAAAAAAGGCTTTAAAATATAATGAAGTCATTAATTACATCTTATAATATATTTTGTCTTTTTATTTTTAATGAGAGAAAAATAGAAGTGGGCAGAGGCAGCTACTTGGAATACCTACATCCTAAGTTTGGGCTCCAGCTGATCCACTTCTGATCCAGCTTCCTGCTAACACACAGAAGGCTCATATAGTTGAGTTCACTTGAGCACCTGCCACTCTTTTTTTTTTAAAAAAAGATTTATTTTATTTATTTGAAAGACAGAGTTAGAGAGAGAGGTAGAGCCAGAGAGAAAGACAGACAGACAGAGGTCTTCCATCTGCTGAGTCACTCCCCAGATGACTGCAACAGTCAGAGCTGCGCTGATCTGAAGCCAGGAGCCAGGAGTCTCTTCTGTGTCTCCCACATGGGTGCAGGGACCCAAGGACTTGGGCCATCTTCCACTGCTTTCCCAGGCCATAGCAGAGAGCTGGATTGGAAGTGGAGCAGCCAGGAATCAAATCAGTGCCCATATGGGATACCGGCACTGCAGGCTGGAGCTTTAACCCACTGTGCCATAGCGCCCGGGCCCCCACCCCCGCCACTCCTGTAATAGACTCAGATGAAGTTCCTGGCTCCTGGCTTCAGCCCATCCAAGTAAATCAAAGATCTCTCTCTCTCTGTTGCTCTGTCATTCAAATCATTAACAAAGAGAGAAATCTTAAAACAACACAGAAGTGGTGGTACTAATCATCTGATGAAAAGAACTAAGTATTCTTTACTCAGTACACTTGGGACCAAGATGGAAATCATCAACCAACCAAAGAGGTGAACAATTAGTTTCATTTGGACATTCATTAGACATAAGCTGGCCAGCCACATATCTCATTGTGAAGAAACAAAATTAAAAGCCACATAAGAAACGCTGGGCATGACAGGTTGTGCAAACAGCACCACTGCACGGAAGACAATGTCAACACTGCATGGCCATATCACAGCTCAAACCTGACGTCAAAGCCTGAACTCAATGGACAAACAAAGTCAGCGTGTGGGAGTCAAGGTATTTTCTAGAAAGCACGGCTCTATCAGCCAGTGCCAACACTATTTTAAAAATGAAAAAAAAAAAAAAAAAAAACAAAACTCAAAAGACACAGCTATAGCATGTCATTAAGCTCCTTTATAAGCACAGAATCTACTTGTCAGGATTTATATTTATTTTGTGGAAGGGTAGGGGCAGAAGGCCTAGGTTATAAAGACAGTAAAATGGTAAAATGAAATCAAGCCAATGATTCTTTTTACATTTAGAGTCCATATTTTAAATGCAGGGCTTTCAGATTTGTGTTGGCCAGCCCAACTTGTGGCCTGCTACACTAAACCCAGTCAAGAGCAGTAAGATGATACGAGTTAAGTATTCCTTATCCAAAATGTGTAGGACCAGAAGTGTTTCAGGTTGCAGTTTTCCGATTTTAGAATATTTGCCTGGATTTTACTGGGTGAACACTGCTGTAAACCTGAAACAAAATGTTTTGAAATACTCCAAAAACCAAAATTTTTTGAATGTCACTTCAGCACATAAAAAGGTATGTGGGTTGGAGCATCTAGGATTATGGATGTTTGGGTTAGAGATGTTCAGCTTGTACTGTACCAACCAGGGAGGCTCCTTATTGAGTGAGCGCAGAGGGAGCAGTGGGAGATGCTCTGGGCCCTGGGAAAGTAGGCTTCAGTGGCAGAGGCTAGCACGCAAGTGACACACTGAAGGTGGGCAGAGCTGCTGTCCCTGCTGTTCTGCCAACTCTCCAAACTTCTGGCCAGACACTAGTTCTAAGTCTGAGCTCTATAAAACAGTCACACCACAATGCCAACCTTGAGGATGAAGGCGGCACGCAAGGAAAAGCACTTACTTATAGCTTCGAAAGTAAATCTTCCCGTTCAGTGCAGTGAAGTGCAGAACGTACTCCAATCCAGCCAGGCGAATATTTGGTACTGTGGGGCCTCTGAAGAAATCTAAAAGCATGTAACATATTAAAAAAGAAAAACAAAAAATAACCAACACAGCTTCTAGAAAGGTAAGACACAGTACAAAAAATGATCCCTTGGGGCTGCCGCCGTGGCTCACTTGGTTAATCCTCCGCCTGCAGTGCCGGCATCCCATATGGGCGCCAGGTTCTAGTCCCGGTTGCTCCTCTTCCAGTCCAACTCTCTGCTGTGGCCTGGGAGGGCAGTGGAGGATGGCCCGAGTGCTTGGGCCCTGCACCTGCATGGGAGACCAGGAGGAAGCACCTGGCTCCTGGCTTTGGATCAGCACAGCGCACCAGCCGTAGCGGCCATTTGGGGAGTGAACCAACGTAAGGAAGATCTTTTTCTCTCTTTCTCTCTCACTGTCTATAACTCTGTCAAATTAAAAAAAAAAAAAATCCCTGAAGAATGTTTGTTTCAACCATTTACTCTTGTCAATTTATTTATTTATTTAAGTTTTTAAGATTTATTTTATTTGAAAGGAAGAGACAGATAGACACACGGATGGAGGGAAAGAGAGAATCTTTTATCCATTGATTCATTCTCCAAATACCCACAACAGCCAGGGTTAGGCAGGCCAAAACCAGGAGCCAGGAACTCCATCTGGTTCTTCTAATATGGGTGGCAGGAACTCAATACTTGAGCCACTGTCTGCTGGCTTCCAGGCATATGAGCAGGAAGCTGGAATAAAAGCATGGAGCAGCCAAGACTGAAAACCAGGCACTCTGATTTGGGATGTGGGGGTTCTGAGCAATGGCTCAATCCACCGTACAACAACGCCCACCCTATGACTTCCTATTTGTTTAGCTCACTGTCATGTTTGTATCTTTGAAGTTCTCCCACTAAGCCAATGTTCAGCATAGGAGTATTATATTTACAATACATACTAACATTTTAAAAATTTAATCAAAGCATAACATTAAAAAAACTTTTTTTGAGGCAGAGAGAGAGAAACAGTATGCACTCATCCACTACTTCTCTTTCCAAATGTCTGCATCCAGGAGCTGGGATCTCAATCTAGGCCTCCCGCTTTGGTGGCAGTAAACCAATCACTCGAGCCATCACTACTGCCTCCCAGAGTCCATGTTAGCAAGGAGCTGGAGGCAGGGACTGGAGCTGGAGGCAGGGACCAGAGCTGGGAATCAAACACAGGTACTCTGATATGGGAAGATGTGGGCATCTTAACTGCTAGGCTAAACAACTAACCCAAGGCATAAAATCTTAACCTTCAAGATAGGTACGTGAATATGGCACAATTCTATAAACTCTAAACAGGAAGTCTCATTTAGCCTTTTTTAATCCCTTTTCCTGTCAGCCCAGATGATGGGAATTATTTCCATGTTTGCAAGAATGCAGAGCTTTTCTGTGTGCCCCTCCTCTCTCCTGGTTACCTAAAAGAACCCCACAGTGATGCTATATAAAACAGGCACAAGTATGCATACATACTCCCCATCTCTACCCCCCACAGCAAAAATCCTCAGGGACGTTTTAGAAAACATGGCTGTGCTTTTTTCAAGATATTTTGATCTAAATGTCATCATTAATCAATAGCCTTTCCAAAATTTTGTCCAAACCTGACTCTCCTTCAGTGGCCCACTCACGCTGTGGCAGCGTCACTGAAGTCAGAATGCAGAACACATGCATTCCAGGGAGCTCTGACACAGCCTTCCTAATGAGCAATTCCAGGCATCGGTACTGCCCCATATGCTTTAAAGAGGAAATAAAGGGAGAAAATTTTAAGAACAAAATAAACATATGGAAAACTATTCTTTATCAGTTCAAAATGTCTAAGATTGTGAATATAAAAGAGCTTGGAATGCGTATCCAATAGTACTATATAGCTATCCTCTTCTTCCAACACTGTACCTTAACCACCAAACTAAAATTCCACTCACGTTTGCAACGCATCAGATCCCAAGCACACATATTGAGAAGGCCTGGGAGGTAGGAGTGGAGACTACCCAACCTCACGGGCATAAATGGCAGCACTTAGCAACCCCAAAGCAAACATCAAGTAGCACGGTACCTTCTGGTTAGAAAGGAACACAGCATTGCTTACACATGAATACCACTGGCAAGAATCCATTCCCTTAACAGATGATGCACCAGGGCACCTATTATGTACAAAGTACTGTTCTGGGTGTGATGATGATAAAAAGGTACAACACGCAGCCTCTTTCTACTGAGGGCCCTGTATTCTAGACAGATACAAATGCGAGCAACTATAATTTAAGGCAGCACTTTAAAGGAAGAACAAAATAAAGTGTTCTGGAAATTCTCAGTAGATACAGATCAGTTTTAGTTGGGGAAGATTTCATAGAAATGGCATTTGTGGGGCCAGTGCTGTGGAGTAGCAGGTTAAGCATCCACCTGCAGCACCAGTATCTCATATGGGCTCCGGTTTGAGTCCCGGCTGTTCCACTTCCAATCCAGCTCCCTGCTGATGGCCTGGGAAAGCAGTAAGAAGATGGCCCAAGTGTCTGGGCTCCGCACCCACGTAGAAGACCCAGACAAAGCTCCTGGCTCCAGATTGGCCCAGCTCCAGCCTTTGCAGCCATTTGGAGAGTAAACCAGTGGATGGAGGACCTTTCTCTTTAACTCTGTCTCTCAAGTAAAGGAATGAACAAGGAAGGAAGGAAAGAAGGAGGGAGGGAGAAAATAAATGGTATTTTAGGCCAAGGCAGACAAGAATTAAATAAGACTTTGCAGAAATAGGGAATGGGATAGAAAAACAGATGTGAACATTGGGAAAGGTGTCAAGTTCTACTGTGTTCACACTTTCATGAAGTCACAAAGGAATATTCAAGAAAGACTTTCCAGCAGGCACTGAGGTTTAGATCCAGAGTGCTGCTAAAAGATGTCTGGATTAGGAGTCATCACAGATGGTTAAAACAGTGGCTGAGAAGGTAGGCTATGCAAAGAAAGACTGGCAAAATAAGAGTACCAAATGTAAAGCAAAACACTGGAAACAAACCAACTGTCCATTAGTAGCAACCTGGTTGATAAACTAGGAACACTTATACAATTAAGGACATTATGGGGATGGCACTGAGGCATAGTGGGTAAAAGCTGCCACCTACAGTGGTGGCATCCCCAATGGGCGCTGGTTTGAGTCCCACTTCCAATCCAACTCTCTGCTATGGCCTGAAAAAGCAGTAGAGGATGGTCCAAGTCCTTGGGCCCCTGCACCCACGTGGGAGACCCAGAAGAAGCTCCTGGCTCCTGGGTTCGGATAGGTCCAGCTCTAGCCATTGCCGCCATTTGGGGAGTGAACCAGCAGATGGAAGACCTCCGGCTGTCTCTGTCTCTGTTTATTTGAAAGTCAGAGTTACACAGAGAGAGAAGGAGAAGCAGAGAAAGAGAGAGAGGTCTTCCATCTGCTGGTTCACTCCCCAGTTGGCCGCAATGGCTGGAGCTGCGCCAATCTGAAGCCAGGAACCAAGAGCTTCTTCCAGGTCTTCCCTTGCAGGTGCAGGGGCCCAATGACTTGGGCCATCTTCTACTGGTTTCCCAGGCCATAGCAGAGACTGGATCGGAAGTGGAGCAGCCCAGACATGAACCGGCATCCATATGGGATGCCGGCACTGCAGGCAGCGGCTTTACTGTGGCTATGCCACAGTGCTGGTCCCGGACATTTTATCTTTAAAAATAGACAATATCTCCAAACAGGACTAGCAAGTGATCTAAAGGACTTATTTGCTTGGGGGTGGGGGAGGGTGCACAAAAAAGTATGTATATGTATCCATCCAGATTCTGGTTGGCAAAACTCTTTCACAGTATAAAAATATTGGTGAGGATGTGGCAAACAGAAATCCTAGTGTATTGCCATTGAGACTAGAGCTGGCCACAGCATTCTGGAAAGAAAACTGGTTGTACCTGGGGGAGTATCTCCACGGACCCAGCTAACTCTATTTCAGAAAACCCAGAGGAATTCCTAATGTCCAAATGTGAAGAGCTGCAGAAGATTTGTGGTGTGAGGAACTACAAGGTATTCAGGTGTCCACACATGGGACTGGCTCAGAAAAGAGACAGTGGATACAGGCTATGAATCAAAGATTTGAATCACATGCATTATATCAAAACACTCATTGAAGGCTGGCGCCGCGGCTCACTAGGCTAATCCTCCGCCTTGCGGCGCCGACACACCAGGTTCTAGTCCCAGTTGGGGCACCGGATTCTGTCCCGGTTGCCCCTCTTCCAGGCCAGCTCTCTGCTGTGGCCAGGGAGTGCAGTGGAGGATGGCCCAAGTGCTTGGGCCCTGCACCCCATGGGAGACCAGGATAAGTACCTGGCTCCTGCCATCGGATCAGCACGGTGCGCTGGCCGCAGCGCGCCAGCCGCGGCAGCCATTGGAGGGTGAACCAACGGCAAAAGGAAGACCTTTCTCTCTCTCTCTCACTGTCCACTCTGCCTGTCAAAAAAAAAAAAAAAAAAAAAAAACACACACAACAACAACAACAAAACACTCATTGCAAGAAGCAATTAAAGCTACGGCACCACAATAACCTGCAGAAATGCAAGACGAACACAAAACTCTCAGATTATGTGGGTGTTTCAGCTGGATGGTTAAGATGCTGGTACCCCTGCTATAGCATCTGGGTGAGGTTCCTGACTCAGGCTTGACTCCCGCTTCCTGGGAAGCAGTAGTGGTGGCTCAAGTAATCAGGTTCCCGTTCCTACATGGGAGATCAGGACTGCACTCTTGGCTCTGGCCTCAGTCCAGCCACAGGCACTGCAGGCATTTAGGGAATGAACCATCAGATGGGAGCTGTCTGTCTCTGCTTTTCAAACAACTTTTTTTTTTTTTTTTTTTTTTTTTTTTTTAAGAAAAAGAAGAGTGAATCAAGGATAAGTCTGAGGTTTTTGAGGTGGGCTGAGGGGAGGATGATTATCATTGAGAACAAGAAAATCAACCCCTGATAAATTTCTCTTTCCCTACTGACCTTCGGTATTTCATTTGAACACACAAGATAAACCAAGCATCAGCTGTCTTACTTCACATGAGGGGGCTTTTAAAAGGCTGTGGAACAGTGGAATTAGAAGACGACATGTATATGCTATGAACTTTCTAAAGCCCACTCATGTTTATCCTGAAAACTCAACTTCCTCCGGTGCTCTATCGTCTCACTCCATTCCTGTTCCACCTCTCTGCTTCTGTCTGCAAACTCCTGTTTGGTTTTCATTCCCTTCCCTTCCTCCCAGCATTGTGTGACCATGCCTGCCACCTAGTGGTAGCATGGAGTGAAGAGCGTGGGCCTTATAAAAACCATTTAGAGAAGACAAACAAAAGCACTCTCTATTATGACAAATTACAAATACTTCCCTCACTGATGATAATTATACAGAGAGCTAAGGGAGAAATGGCAGGAAATCTGGGCCAAACCAGTAATATGAACTTTGGCTAAAAATCTGACTGAAAAAATACCCTTGATACTTTGTGGTACGTAATACCGAAAGAAAACAATCGTCACTGCCTCTCACGGATGAATTTTAGTTCATGGAAAACATCTGTGAGGGAATAAGTTCACCACAGGCAACATGAACAAGACACAGAAGAGCTCAGACTTCGACTTTCAATTCTGCCTCATCCAAAAAGCTGTCATTTAACCTCTCGAAGCCCTGTCTGCTACTTATAAAATGTTCCCAAACTGAAGCACTTTTGTAAAGATTAAACAGCTAATAGTGGAAATCAGTTTAAAATTTTAAAAGTAGAGGGAAGTGGTGTCGCTCAGTGGGTTAACCTGCCCCTTGGGACGCCCACATCCTAGCACACAGTGCTTGCCTTGTGTCCCACCTCCACTTCTGATGTAGCTTCTTGCTAGTGCACACCCTGGTAGGCGGCAGTGTTGGCTCAACTAGTTAGGCCCCTGCCACCCTTGTGAAAGACCTGGATTGAGCCCCCAGCTTAAGCCTTGCCAAATCCTGGCTATGGAGGGTGTGAGGAGAGTGAGCCTGGGGATGGCAGCTCTATCTGCCTTGCAAATAAATAAAGATAAATAAACTTTAAAAACAAAAAACCTGCAGAAGTTATTAAGAGTTGTCTGGAACAGAAACTTGAAAGAACGGTGGAAACTGGACAAATACGAATGACACTAGAAGAGACAATAGCAATATTCCTGGCCTGGAGTTGAAGGATGCCCAGGTCAGAGCCATAGATCTTGCTGGCACGAAGCTGAAAAGCCCTTCACTCGGCTCAGCTTCCAAAGTAGGGTCAGTAACATTGCAGGCAGAAGATGCCACCTGCCTTTACCTGGCCGGCTCTCCTCCCAGGCCAGCGAGGTAATGGAAGTCAACAGGGTGCCTTCCCCAAGGAGGTTCATACCCCATGTGAAGAGATGGACAGGTCTGGGCCTCACAACTGACAAGGCCTTAAAGCTCACCAGATCATTATTAGGCCTCTTCTATCAGGTTCTATGCCTCTCAATTGGAAAACTTACTTGTGTTTAGATAGCAGCTCTCTTAGTTTCTCCAATAATGACTCCGTCCTTTGTTCTAGACCTTATCTAGACCACTTGGGGCCTCATTCCTTTGTAATCATAGCCCCCACTCTAACATCAATGGCTCTACTACCAATCTGTGTGTATTGATGGCCCTCTCTCCCACTTAATGCTGTATGATTGTTCAGAATTTCTCTATAGATAAACCCCTCTACCCACAAAAGATGAGTGGCCTTTCTCCCAGTCTTGGTTGGGATCAACTTTAAACCATGTCCATCAAAAAGTCTTCACAAGGATCCAGATACCCCGCCCCCCTCCCATTTCTTCTCCTCTATGAAATCCTCTCATTACTTGGTTAATGCCTCTCTTGGGATCATTGGTTGCTATTCTCACCCTTTTAGACTACTGTGTCTGTTTAAGTGTTTACAGGGATTGATAATGGAATAAACCAACTACTGTTACAAAGATATACTTGGCTCCCCATCCAGGAGACAGCGGCTTGAGTCATCACCCCATGCCAGCAGAGAGTACTTCGTCACCCCATGTCAGCAAGAAGTAGCTCTAAACATAGATCATCATCCCTCTAGCTCTCCTGGACTTTTGGGGCTTGCTTTATAAAAAAAAAAGCGGGGAATGTTAGTAAAATGTCACAATCTTATCTATGGCACAATCTACACCCTGGCTATCATCCTAGGCTCTAGCTCCCACCACCACTGCTGGAAGCCAGGTGGCCACATGGCCCAACCACCAGTGTCAGCTCTACCCCCATCCTATTGGGATTCGCTGCTCCTACTTCCCTGCCCGAGCCCCAGCAAAGGTTTAACAAGACCTGCTCCTGAACATGTGGCTCTCAATCTCTTTCTCTCTTGATCTCTCTAACGCTCTTCTTCTCTCTTTTCCTTCTTCGCCCCTTCCCTCTGATCTGTCAGGTTTCCCCACCAATAAACCCTTTCCCTTGGGAAAAAAAAAAAAAGGAACATTCATAGCATATTTTCATTAAGTAACCTTTTGATGGAAAAGGGAGCAACACTGAAGTTATACTGTGAATCTCCTCGTACATCAAACTAAGAAAAATTAACAGAGGATTCTGCATTGGAAGTGGATGATATATAGCAATCTTGAAATTTTAACTTGAGTTTTCTAAATTTAAAGTTTTTTAAGAATATTATTTACTGGGGTCAGCATTGTGGCATAGTAGGTTAAACCTCAGCCTGTGATGCCAGCATCCCACATGGGCATCGGTTCGAGACTCAGCTGCTCCACTTCCGATCCTGCTCTCTGCTATGGCCTGGGAAAGCAGTAGAGGATGGCCCAAGTCCTTGGGTCCCTGTACCCACGTGGGATACCCCGAAGAAGCTCCTGGTTCCTGACTTTGGATCGACGGCAGCTCTGGCCATTGCAGCCAACTGGAGAGTGAACCATCGAATGGAAGACCTCTCTCTCTCTCTCTCTCTTTCTCTCTCTCTCTGCCTCTTCTCTCTCTGTGTAACTCTGACTTTCAAATAAATAAATAAATCTTAAAAAAAAAAAAAAGAAATCAAAAAGGAAAAGGAGAAAGCAAAATTGTACACTTAGAATGAAGTGACAAAAGGGCTACCAATGACAGTCTTAGATTCCCTGAGATGCCTTGAATATAATAAACATTAAAATACTTACCAATAAGAAGACTTTTTAGTCTTCTATAGTCTTCTGTTGCATCAAAATCATCACCAGCAAATATCAACATGGGTTTCGTGCCCTCAGGACATTTACTATTCTATAAAATAAAAAAAATCACTTAATTATCAAAGTCTAAACTGTTTTATATGCTGCCTTTAAAGCAATCCGGGGACAAGTATCTGGTGCAGAGGTTAAAGTATTTCTTGGGATGCCTGCATCCCATATCAAAATGCCTGGAATGGAGTCCTGGCTCCACGCCCAATTCCAGCTTCCTGGGAGGCAGCAGGTGATGGCTCAAGTACTTGGGTCCCTACCACCTATGAGGGAGACCTTGTTTGAGTTTCCAGCTGTTCTGAATTTGGCTTGGCCCAACCCTGGTTTCTGTAGGCATTCAGGAAGTAAACCAACAGATGGGAGATCTGTCTCTCTGCTTTTCAAATAATAATAATAATAATAAAAATACGATAGAGATCATGGCATAGCAGGTTAAACAGCCATTTAGGATGTCAGCATCCAATGTCAGATTGTAGAACAGAGTCCCAGCTTCTCTGCTTCTGATCCAGTTTCCTGCTAACGTACACTTTAAGAAGCAGCAAGTGAGGCTCAAGTACTTTGGTACCTGGTACCCATGTGGAAGTAACAAATGGAGTTCCTGGTTCCTAGCTTCAGGTTGGCCCAGCCTAGGATGTTCTGAGTATTTGGGGAGTGAATCAATAGATGGAAAATCTCTCTGCCTCTCCCTCCCAATCACACTGCCTTTCAAATAAATAAATAAATCCTAAAAAAAAAAGTTAAAAAGCACATTTTATTAACTTTCTTAAAACTATGTCTGCAAATACTGACTTCAGATTTTAAAAGAGATGGGATTTGGGGCTGGCGCTGCAGCTCAGTGGGTTAAAGTCCCAGCCTGCATCACAGGCATCCCATGTGGATGCTGGTTCGAGTCCCAGCTACTCCTCTTCTGATCCAACTCTCTGCTATGGCGTGGGAAAGCAGTAGAAGATGGCAAAAGTGCTTAGGTCCCTGCACCCACGTGGGAGACCTGGAAGAAGCTCCTGGTTCCTGGCTCAGCTCTGGCTGTTGAGGAGTGAACCAGCGGAATGGAAGATCTCTCTTTCTCTCTCTGCCTCTCCTCCTCTCTCTGTATAACTCTGACTTTCAAATAAATAAAATAATTTAAAAAAAAAAGATGGGATTTTTTAACCATATAGATTGATTATATTGAAAAATAATAATCTGTTCTATTCACCTTCATTACTGTAGGATGTCTGCATCCTTATGGCAGTGCCTAGGTTCAAGTTCCAGATCCACTCCCAATTCCAGCTCCCTGCTAACACACACTCTGGTGGACAGCAGGTGATGGCTACCCACCCACATAGGAGTGGGTCCCTCTCACCCGTATAGGAGACCGGGAGTGAATTCCTGGCTCCTGGCCCAGTCCAGGCTATTGTGGGCAACTGGGAAAGGAATCAGCGGACCGACATCTATGTCACCATCTCTCTTGGCCTCTCAAATAAAAATAAATAAAAAAGCTACACTTGCAAAAAGCCACAAAACAAACCCAAACATACAAATGAAAACAACTGAAAATAGCCTGCCTCCCAGTACTAAAACAAATTAATTTGCAGGAAAAAATTTGATTTATAGCACTGTGCCTTTACTGTCATATCACATCAAGCTTTTTTTTTTTTTTTTTCTGAGAGGTAGAAAGAGAAAGATTGCTGATTTATTCCCTAAGAGTATTTGTAAATGACAGCTAACTAAACTATCAACTAGTCATTTACATGGGAAGCAACATAACTGTATACAAGCTATAGAAATACGGGCAAATCCTTAGCTGGCAGGAGTGAAACTTTTTATAAATGTATTCTGGGGGCCGGCGCTGTGGTTCAGTGGGTTAAATTCCCAACTGCAGTGCCAGCATCCCAAATGGGCAGCAGTTTGAGTCCCGGCTGCTCTACTTCCAATCCAGCTCCCTGCTAATGTGCCTGGGAAAGCAGTGGAAGACGACCCAAGTTTTTTCAGTTCCTGCACCCACATGGGAGATCTGGAGGAAGCTCCTGGTAGTATGGACATTTCAATATTAATCTTCCAATCCACGAACATGGAAAATTTTTCCATTTTTTTGTGTCTTAATTTCTTTAATATTTTATAATTTTCATAATAGAGATTTTTTTACTTCCTTGGTTAGGTTTGTTACAAAGTATTAAATTTTTTTTGTAGCTATTGTGAATGAGATTGATCTTAGAAGTTCTTTCTCAGCCATGGCATTGTTTGTGTATACAAAGACTACTGATTTTTGTGTGTTAATTTCATATCCTGTCATTTTACCAAACTCTTTAATGAGTTTCAACAGTCTCTTAGTGGAGTCCTTTGGATCCCATATATATATATATGGGATATATATATATATATATATATAATCATCATCTCATCTGCAAATAGGGATAATCTGACTTCCTCCTTTCTCATTTGTATCCCTTTGATTTCTTTTTCTTGCCTAATGGCTCTGGTTAAAACTTCCAGGACTATATTGAATAGCAATGGTAACAGTGGGCATCCTTGTCTGGTTCTGGATCTTAATGGGGATGCTTCCAACTTTTCCCCATTCAATAAGATGCTGGCTGTGGGTTTGTCATAAATTGCCTTGATTGTGTTGAGAAATGTTCCTTTGATGCCCAATTTGCTTAAGGCTTTCATCATGAAAGGATGTTGATTTTATCAAATGCTTTTCTGCATCTACTAGAATAATCATAAGGTTTTTATTCTTCAGTTTGCTAATGTGATGTATCATATTTATTGATTTACAAATGGTGCACCATCCCTGTGTAGCAAGGATAAATCCCACTTAGTCCCAGTGAATGATCTTTCTGATGTGTTGTTGGATTAAATTAGCCAGTATTTATTAAGGAGTTTTGCATCTATGTTCATCAGGGATATTGGTCCTTAGTTCTCTTTCTCAATTGTATCTTTTTCAAGTTTAGGAATTAAGGTGATGCTGACTTCACAGGAGGATTCCCTCCCTTTCAATTGTATTTCACCACCTTGGAAGTGGAAGAGAAGGGGCAGAGGGCTTGAGGGTGTACCTACAGCCAGTGCTCAGGCCCACCCAGCTGGAGGCTAAACTAGCAACAGTGGCAAAGATGAAATGGAGATCTGTATACAACACCAGAGGAAAACAGTAATATGATGGTGTCCATCATAAGCACCACAGTTTAAGCTTTCTAGTATGTTCTCATCACTGATAAGCATATTCACCTATGTTACCTCATCTGATGTTGTTATATATTTTATGCTTCACTACAAAAGGTCATGGAAGTCATCAGCTAATCAGGTCACAAATGTCACCTAAAAGGCCAAGCCAGGCCTCCTCCCCAAGTATTCTGCTTCTACATCCAATCCTGCGGCACTGTTCTGCCCTATACCTGGGGAAGATGGGCTGAATGACTAAATGGGATATGGTAAAGGCCTTTTTCAAACCTATAGGATAAGAATATTTAAGAATTCTAATAAACCTGGAGGTATCTCCCATTTTTAGAAGATAGCTGGGGAAAGGACTGATAATATATTTGCTACAATTTATTTTTAACTATACCATGAGCCTGAAAAACCCATAAATGGGGCCAAACACCTAGAATGGCAGATGAAAGGCCCACATCCCATATCAGAGTGTGTGTTCAAGTCCTGGCTCCACACTCAGTTTCAGCCTCCTGCTGATGCCTAACCCAGGTAGGCAACAGGTGATGACACAAGTCACCAGCTTAGGTCCTTGCCACCCACATGAAAGACCTGGACTGAATTCTTGGCTCCTGGGCATTTGAGGGGTGAACCAGCTGATGGGAATTCTAAAAATAAAATAAAATAATTTCTAAAAGCCCATAAACTGACAATAGTTACACATTTTCCATTCTAACAGTTTCCTTTCTCTCAAATCCCTTGAGTCCTAATCTTGGTTATACTAACTACGTGTGACTCTAGGTCACCAATGAAACCTCTCTGAGCCTCAATCTCCAAATCTAAGCTGCAGGACAAATTACTTCAGCCTCACCCAGCATGGCTATGAGTCCAAGTCAAATATATTTGCTGGGACAGACGGAGCCAGAAGCAGAGTTCTGAGGGAGCAGTTGTTTAATTTGTAACCAAAAGCTGAATTAGGACACTCTTCCTGCTATTTTTACTACTACTTACTACTTTCTATTCCATAATCCCTTTCAAACAAGGCAGATACAAGCCCCAAGGAGAGCTGAGCTACCCAATCATTTGCTAATGGCCAAAATATTGTCAGACCATCTTGGATTGAAAATAGGGCTCAAACTGAAAATTCTGGTATTTGTGAGATTCCTTAAAATAGATGCTGTGATAATGCAGATGGAGGGGATAGCACTTTCAGCCCTGGGGCTAGATAAGATTTAGGAAGCCGTCTGAAGTCCACCTGCCAAAAGACTCACATGTATTATATGCTACATATAAACTCCTCTTTCAGAGTTACAGTAAAGGGCCAGGTATCTGGTGCAGCAGTTAAACGCCACTTGGGATGCCTGCATTCCATACTGGAGCGCCTGGTTCAAGTCCCACTCTGCTGTCCATTTCAGCCTCCTGCTAACACGCAACCTAGGAGGCAGCGGATGATGGCTCAGGATGCTGGGTCCCTGCCACCCTGAGGGAGGCCCAGATTCAGTTCCCAGTGCTTGCTTTCAGCCTGCACCAGCTCCGGCTATTACAGGCATTTGGGGAATGAGCCTGTGGATCTTCCTGGCTCATTCACTCTCTGTCTCTCTGCTTTTCAAATAAATGAAAATTTTCTAAAAAGATAAAGGTTAAAATAAAGTTGTATTTTTATCTTAGAGCATGCCAGAATAAAAAAACAAAGTCCTTTATACACAAAATACTATTAGTATTCTTTATTGCAAGAAGTCACCAATGGCCAAAAGCAACACTGCAAAGTGTTTTTTGTTTTTTATCATCAGTATCTTACCTTAATATCTTTTAGAGAGACAAACTTCTCAATTCCTAATTCAATCATATCCAGCACGTGGTAGTCATACATACGACCTAGAAGAAAAATACATTTTAAGCATGTTTTTTCCCAGTTGCCTACATGAACCTACTTACCTGCACATTCACAATGACCTAATAACTTTGCTCTTTGCTTTCTTGCTATACAAGATAGCAGTTTAGATAGAGTTTTCAACTCTATCTAAAATGCTGTTAGGACAGCAGTCACAGAAGTGATTTTAGCGATCATTCAGTATGACTCCTTATTTTATAGAATAACTGAAAGGCACGGCTGTTAGGGCTTGCCTGTGCCAGATCCAATCTCAACAGACACAGAAAAGGATTTTTTTTTTTTTTTAAGGTCTTCCTTCCATTGGTTCACCCCACAAATAGCCGCTATGGCCAGAGCTACGCCGATCCAAAGCCAGGAGCCAGGTGCTTCCTCTTGGTCTCCCACACGGGTGCAGGCGCCCAAGCACCTGGCCATCCTCCACTGCCTTCCTGGGCCACAGCAGAGAGCTGGACTAGAAGAGGAACCACCAGGACTAGAACTCGGCGCCCATATGGGATGCCAGCACCGCAGGCGGAGGATCAACCAAGTGAGCCCCCGGCAAGGATTCTTTTACGAGTTTATTTATTCAACAGATATTGACTAAGGAAGGATTAATTCATGTTGGGGAGAGGTTATTTTATTTTCCCTTAACTCTACACACACACACAGACACACACATATGCAAGAGTACTTTAGAATCAAGGGAAATATGAGACTAAAGTATTTATTTTGGTCCCCCAAAAATCAAATCCATACAGTTTTTTCAGAATATGCATCTCCTACGTACTTTCTGAAGACCTCTTGTATGTGTCAGACATGTACATACACCCACATGTACTAACGCATGTCTATCGCCTATCAGAAAACTATCTAGGGGCTGGCGTCGGACACAGTGGGTTAAACTGCAAGCTGCACTACTGGCAGCCCATATGAACACCCGTTTGGTTTCTGCCTGCTCCACTTCCAATGCAGCTCCTTGCTCATGTGCCTGGAGAGCAGCTGACGATGTCCCAAGTCCTTGGGCCCCTGCCACCAACAGGGAATTCCCAGATGGAATTCCAGGCTCCTGGCTTCAGCCTGGTCCAGCCCTGGCCATTGTAGTCATTTGGGGAGTGAACCAGATGACAGAAGATCTCCATCTCCATCTCGCCCTTCTTGTTCTGTAACTCTGCTTTTCAAATAAATAAATAGTTTATATTTTATATCTTTTTAAATATTTATTTACTTACACTTACTTGAAAGGCAAAATTACAGAGTGGTAGAGGCTGAGTGAGGTCTTCCATCCACTGATTCACTCCCCAAATGGCCATAATGGTTGGAGCTGAGCTGATCTAAAGCCAGGAACCAGAAGCTTCCTCCGGGTCTCCCATGCAGGGAGACCCAAGCACCTGGGCCATCTCCACTGCTTTCCCAGGTACATCAGCAGAGAGCTAAATAGAAGTGGAGCAGCTGGGACTCGAACTGGCACACACAAGGGATGCCAGCACTGCAGGTGGCGGCTTTACCTACTACGCAACAGCACCAGCCCCATAAATAAATCTTTTGGAGCAGCTGGGACTCGAACTGGCACACACAAGGGATGCCAGCACTGCAGGCGGCGGCTTTACCTACTACGCAACAGCACCAGCCCCATAAATAAATCTTTAAAAAGAAAAAAAATATACATATAGGGGGCAACTGTATGGCACAGCAGGTTATACTACTACTTGTGAGACTGGAATCCATGTGTGTTGGTTCAAGTCTCATCTGTTCTGCTTCTGATCCAAGTTGCTGCTAATGCACCTGGGAAGGCAGAAGATGGCATAAGCACTTGGGACCCTGCCACCCACATGAGAGACTCAGATGGTGTTCTAAGCTCCTGGCTTTGGCCTGGGTCAGCCCTTGCCATTAAAACTATCTGAGGAGTGAGACAGAAGATGTAAGATCTTTCTCTGTCTCTGTCCCTCCTTCTCTGTCATTCTTACAAATAAATCTTTAAAAATTCAGGCTGGTGTTGTGGCATAGCTGGTAAAGCCACTACTTGTAATGCCAGCATCTCATATGGGCACTGGTTTGTGTTCTGGATGCTCCACTTACAATCCAGTTCCCTGCTAATGTAGTGGGACTTGGGAAAGAAGTGGAAGATAGCCCAAGTGTTTGGGTCCCTGCCACCCAAGTGGAGAGATCAAGATGAAGCTCCTGGCTTCTGGCCCAGTGCTGGCTGGGGAGTGAACCAGCAAATGGAAGATCTCTCTCTCTCTCCTTCTCTCTGTAATTCTTTTTTTTTTTTTTTTTTTTTTAAGATTAATTCATTTATTTGAAAGGCAGAGTTGCAGAGGCAGAGGCAGAGAGAGATGTCTTTCACCCCCTGGTTCACTCCCTAAATGGCTACATCAGCTGGAGTTGGGCCAATTTGAAGCTAAGAGCAAATTGGATTGGAAATGGAGCAGCCAAAACTCGAACTGGCACCCATGAGATGCTGGCACTTCATCTGGCTGCTTTACCTGCTATGTCACAGCACCTGCCCCTGTAACTTTGACTTTCTAAATAAGCAAATAAATATTGCTTCTTTTTTCCTTTTTTTTTGGACAGGTAGAGATATAGACAGTGAGAGAGAAAGAGAGAAAGGTCTTCCTTCTGCTGGTTCACTCCCCAAATGGCCGCTAAGGCCGGTGCTGTGCCGATCCGAAGCCAGGAGCCAGGCGCTTCTTCCTGGTCTCCCATGCAGGTGCAGGGGCCCAAGCACCTGGGCCATCCTCCACTGCCTTCCCGGGCCACAGCAGAGAGCTGAACTGGAAGAGGAGCAACCGGGATTAGAACCCGGCACCTATATGGGATGCCGGCGCCGCAGGTGGAGGATTAACCAAGTGAGCCACGGCACCGGCCCCTAAGCAAATAAACCTTTAAAAATAAATATACAATAAAATAAAACGGGGCCAGTGTTGTGGTACAGGAGGTTAACCAATTCTTGCAATGCTGGCACCCCATTTAGGAGTGTCAGTTTGTGTCTAAGCTACTCTGCTTCCCATCCAGCTCCCTGCTAATGTGCCTGGGAAAGCAGCAGAGCATAGCTCAAGTATCTGGGATCCTGTCAGTCAAGTGGGAAATCTGGACGGAGTTCCAGGCTCCTGGAATCCATCTGGACCAACCCAGCCATTTCAGCCATTTGGGGAATGAACCATCATGAAAGCTGGCGTCTTTCTCTCTGCCTATGAATTAAATCTGAAAAAAACATATCTATGACTTGAAGTAAGGTAATTTGCCCCCAATCTCAGTGGACACACGACATGTGGGAACTTAGTGAGACTCAGCATAAGCTGCACGTACAACTGAGTAAATGGGTGGAGGTGAGAGCACCAAGAGGCCACACTCTACTTAAACCACAACTTGCTTCCAACAGAGACACAAGGCAGACAACCAAGGAAAGGAACTCTTTCAAATTCCTTCTTACTGGCGCTCTTTCCTTGAATTGGTGAATTATATGTATATGCCTCACTCTTCACCTGGAGACAGGTAGATTAATAAGTAACTTTATTCAAGGCCAGAAGGTAAAATAAAGAAAGCAAAAATCCATGGGGCCAGCGCTGCGTTGTAGTGGGTAAAGCCGCCACCTGAAGTGCTAGCATCCCATATGGGCACTGGTTTGAGTCCTGGCTGCTCCACTTCCGATCCAGCTCTCTGCTGTGGCCTGGGAAAGCAGTAGAAGATGGCCCAAGTCCTTGGGCCCCTGCACCCGCGTGGGAGACCCGGAAAAAGCTCGTTGTGGCCATCTGGGGAGAGAACCAGTGGATAGAAGACCTCTCTCTCTCTCTCTCTCTCTACCTATCTCTCTGTAACTCTTTCAAATAAATAAATAAAAATAAAGAAAGAAAGAAATGACACTTACCCAGAACTAGATTATTAGGTCGCTTCTTATTATGAGAACCAAACATGAATAAAGAACAATCTGACTTCTTTGAAAAGAATTCCTATAAAATCAATGAAATCCCATTTAGTCAATGCATAAATATAGGAATCTTAAGAATCTTGCCTCTAAACCTGAAAAAATATATCAGGTTTGTTTATCAGTAGTTTACGAAGACTTAATATAACTAAATAGAAATACAGAGAGGAAAATTACTAGCCTCAATGGCACAGCTTAGCATACATTTAAAGTATACATGGATACATAGGGGCAGGCATTTGATACAACAGTTAATATACTGCTTGGGCTGCTTGTATCACATATCCGAGTGCCTGGGTTTGAGTCCCAGCTACTCCACTTCCAATTCCAGCTTCTTGCTAATGCATACCTTGGAGGCAGCAGGTGATGGCTCAAGTACCTGGGTTCCTGCCACTCACTTGGGAGACCTTAACTGAGATCAAAGTTCCGAGCTTCAGTTTGGGCCAGTCCTGGCTACTGTAGACACTTGAATAATCAATCAGTCAGTCTCTGCCTTTCAGTCACAGAAATGATATTAGAAATGAGAGTAAATTGGCCTGCGCCGCGGCTCAATAAGCTAATCTTCTGCCTGTGGCGCCGGCACACCGGGCTCTAGTCCCGGTCGGGGTGCCGGATTCTGTCCCGGTTGCCCCTCTTCCAGGCCAGCTCTCTGCTATGGCCCGGGAGTGCAGTGGAGGAAGGCCCAAGTGCTTGGGCCCTGCACCCGCATGGCAGACCAGGAGAAGCACCTGGCTCCTGGCTTCGGATCAGTGCAGTGCACCAGCCGCAGCACACGAGCCGCAGTGGCCACTGGGGGTTGAACCAACAGAAAAAAGGAAGACCTTTCTCTCTGTCTCTCTCTCTCACTGTTCACTCTGCCTGTCAAAAAAAAGAAAAAAGAAAAAAAAAAAAAAGAAGAAAAGAAAAGAAATGAGAGTAAATTAAAAAGGAAAGGAAGTAAAGAAATTATAAAAAATTAAAAATCAAGAACACATAAATATATATAACGGGCCTACATGAATTTATCAATATGATATTTTCAGATATCTGTATCACATTCAGGAGTTTGTAACACTTACAGCTACTTTTCACGGCTACCTGCATCCAAACAGGAGTCCTGACCTAGCACTTCCACACCACCCCAGCTGTGAGTAGACCCACAGCAGGTCGGTTGACTGGCAGGTCTGTGATACTCCAGCTCCCATTCAACTCTCAGAAGTACTGACTTCAATTACAGATTGAAGAGGAGCATATGTGTAAGTTTAGGGTTCCAATTCTAGACAGTTCCTTTTATGCTACACTCTCTACATCCCATACTTTCATTCGATTTATTGAGATCAATTTTAGTGCCATGTGTTCTAGTACAAAAACCAGCTGGAAAGCTTCAATTAATGACAAAAAACTTAAAAAAGAGATGGAACAGCTAGAAACCTCAGCTTTTCTCCCTGGGTACAAGACATTCAGAAGGGCAGGCCCCTGGACTTTGGCTACCATTCACCCCCGTGTCCAAGCAGAAGAACTCCCAGCTAAGGCGATAAGGTCAGAGTCCAGAATTCCATTTGCTGTGGCCTCTGGACAAATTAGCCTTCCTGAGAATTAATTTTATCATCAGGGACAAAAACCTACAAGGACTACATGAATGTCATATGTGACTGTACCTTATATATGTCAGGTACAAACTAAGTGTTCAAAAATATTTACTATCTACATCAATGGAAATGTTTTCTTAAAATTTTTTAACATTCTCATGCTATGATTAGCACCCCAAAGCTTCCATAAAACGTCCTTCAGTTTTTCTCCACAAAGTCTGCTTATTTGTTAAAATCCTAGAGCAGAGTAGTCAAAAATTATCTGTAAAATGCCAGACAGAGGCCGGCGCCACAGCTCAATAGGTTAATCCTCCACCTAGCGGTGCCGGCACACCGGGTTCTAGTCCCATTCAGGGCGCCAGATTCTGTCCCGGTTGCCCCTCTTCCAGGCCAGCTCTCTGCTATGGCCCGGGAAGGCAGTGGAGGATGGCCCAAGTGCTTGGGCCCTGCACCCCATGGGCGGCCAGGAGAAGCACCTGGCTCCTGCCATCGGAGCAGCGCGGTGCACCAGCCGCAGCGCGCTGGCCACGGCGGCCATTGGAGGGTGAACCAACGACAAAGGAAGACCTTTCTCTCTGTCTCTCTCTCTCACTGTCCACTCTGCCTGTAAGTAAGTAAGTAAGTAAGTAAGTAAGCAAGCAAGCAAGCAAGAACGAACGAACGAACGAACGAACGAACGATTTTGATTTCATGGGCCTCATACAAACAGGGTTTTCGTCCAAAGACAGTTTGCTTCTACCAACTCCTGTTCTAATACACCAAAGCACATTTTCAAGACTGTGGTTAAAGAAATGTGTGATGAGGAAGATCAGAAGGAAGTGAATCACGTTTACAACACAACCACTCTACCCATGGCCACTGTGAGCTCTGGAGGTCTGAGACTTATTATTGTCAATGAAATATACTCTGTATTTCTGCATCTGGAAGGTAGAAGTTCAGAGAGGGCATGTCATGTTAACACTGGACTGGAATAGTAGTACTGCAGGAAGAGAGTGCTGCAGATTTCACAACGCAATACTGCTACAAAGTGGTACTTCACCACAGCATTATGATGGCATGAAACAAAATAAGCCCTTGATTAAGTGGTATATGGAGGAGAGAGAAGTCTGGGATATTTATATTTTCATGACTCTACAGCAAATGACTATGAAAAACCATGACATTAAAATGAAAGTGTTTTTTTAAAAAAATGAATAAAATTTATTTTTCTAATATTTGTCAATATAATTTTCTTTTTTAAAAAATGTTTATTTATTTTTATTTATCTGAAAGGCAGAGAGACAAAAGAAACAAAGAGCTTCTTCCATCTGCTGGTTTATGCCCCAAATGGCCAACAATAGCATGGGCCAGGCCAGGCTGAAGCCAGGTGGCAGAAACTCCATTCGGGTCTCCCCTGGGCAGTGGATGATGATCCAAGTACTTGGGCCAGTGCCATCCAAGCAGAACATGATGGAGTTCCTGGCTCCTGGCCCTGGCCTTGTTCAAAGCCAGCTGTTGCAGTCATTTGATCAGTAGATGGAACAGTGCCTTCCCTGTCTCTCCCTCTTCCCCTCTGTCATTCTGTCTTTCAAGTAAATAAACAGGGGCCAGCTCTGTGGCGCAGTAGGTTAATTCTCCGCCTGCAGCGCCGGCATCCCATATGGGCGCTGGTTCTAGTCCTGGCTACTCCTCTTTCAAACCAGCTCTCTGCTGTGGCCTGGGAAAGCAGTAGCCAAGTCCTTGGGCCCCTTCACCAGTGTGGGAGACCGGGAGGAAGCACCTGGCTCCTGGCTTCGGATCGGCGCAGCTCCGGCTGTTGTGGCCATCTGGGGAGTGAACCAATGGAAGGAAGACCTTTCTGTCTCCTTCTCACTGTCTGTAACTTTACCTCTCAAATAAATAAAAAATAAATAAATAAATCCTTAATGAAAAAGAAAACACAACAAATCAAGGCATACTGCCAGGTATTATGTAACCATAAAAGGAAAAATAAAATTTCTATAATAATCTTCCTTTTGATAATTCATTAATTATGCAGCACTTAAAATGGAACTCAGTTTTTAAAAATTCAATAAATATGATTGCAGGCATTAAATAATACACTTACTAACCATAGTGAAATGAGCTATGGTATATTTTTGAAAGTATAAAGGTTTTATTTTTCCTATATTTCACATCAAAATTCTTTCATACAGGATGATTATTTCTAATGCAAAAAATCTCAAATTAGGAGTACAATAGGAATTAGTCTAAATAATCACTTTCATGTGCCTTTTTTTTTTTTTTTTTTTTGACAGGCAGAGTGGACAGTGAGAGAGACAGCGAGAAAGGTCTTCCTTTTTGCCATTGGTTCACCCTCCAATGGCTGCCATGGCAAGCGCGCTGCAGCCGGCGCACCGCACTGATCCGAAGCCAGGAGCCAGGTGCTTCCTCCTGGTCTCCTATGCGGGTGCAGGGCTCAAGCACTTGGGCCATCCTCCACTGCCTTCCCGGGCCATAGCAGAGAGCTGGCCTGGAAGAGGGGCAACTGGGACAGAATCCAGCACCCCGACCGGGACTAGAACCCAGTGTGCAGGAGCCGCAGGCAGAGGATTAGCCTATTGAGCCACAGCGCTGGCCCATGCGCCCTTAAATCAGATTCTTATACTTACCAGTGATGTCTGATCTTCAAATGGTCTTGTAATATTTTTCCTAAGAATATTAAAAAAGTGACAATTTAAAAAATCTTAATAAGTAAACATAATTAATGTATTAAATAAAAGATAATTTTATATTCAGATTAATACATTTAAAAACTGGAAGAATATTCATTCATTCAAATACTTATTTAGTGCCCATTATATGCCAGACACACTTACAGAAGCTAGAGATATTATGTTAAATAAGATACTTGCTTTCCTGGAGCTTATATTTTAGTGGAAAAATAAATAATTCCAAAAAGTAATAACTGGGGTGGGCATTTAACCTAGCATTAAAAGAAGCCTGTTAAGACTTCCAGACCCTGGACAGGCAGGGCCTCCACTAAGCCCCTAATACGCAGGAAGCAGCTACAGAAGAGATGACTCTACATCCATCAACATCCCTTAGGATTAAGGGAATGGAGTCTCTGAGGGAAGAATGTTGTAAGTAAGCATACAGAATAAAATTGATCAGGTTTGTGAACTGGATTACCCTGCCTTCAGCACGCCCCTGTGTGACCTCATGCCCCTACCTGGCCACACCTGTGCCCCCACCAGCCAATCAGGTTAATTAACCACTCCCCTTTGGAAGTGAATTAAAAGCCTGGGACAGGATGTGCCCAGCCCTTTTTTCCTCTTTGGCTTCTTGCCATTGTGGACTGGCACAGCCCCTGCACCTCCAGGGTGTGTGGCCTTTGGGCCACCTGCCCCATGCTTCCTGGCCTAGATGCTCCTCCATGTTGCTGGCTCCTGGTACTCGGTATAAATCAGATTTACCTCTCTCCTATAGATAGAGCCCTCACTTTCTTATGCATTTTTCCTCACTGAATAAAAGCTTAAAAATGAAAAAAATAAAAAATAAAAGAAAGGAAGCATGTTAAGACACATGCTGTGGGACAGGAATTGTGGTGCAACAGATTAAGCCACGGCTTGGGATGCCCACATTCCACATTATAACACTAGTTCAAGTCCTGGCTACTCAGCTTCCAACCCAGCTCCCTGTTAATGAGCCTTGGAAGCAACAGATGATGATGATGACTCAAGTACTTGAGTTCCTGCCATCCACCTGAAGATCCAGAGGGAGTTCCTGGTCCTGACTTCAACCTGGCTCAGCCCAGCTATTGTAGGCATTTGGGGAGTCAATCAGTGGATGGAAGATCTCTCTGTGTGTGTATGCATGTTTGTCTTCAGTCTGCCTTTCAAACAAATACATCTTTAAGGAAAAATAAGATGTTTGCTGTCCCTCATCAGAGCACCTGGGTTTGGTTCCCAGCTCTGGCTCCTAACTCCACTTTCATGCTGATGTGGACTCTGGGAGGCAGCAGGTAATGGTAGTGGAGCAAGTAATTAGTAATTACATGGGAATCCTGGATTGGGTTCCCAGCTCCTGAATCTGGCCTGGTCCAGCCAAAGGTCCTGCAGGCATCTGGGAAGTGAACCAGTGAATGGGGGTTCACTCTTTCTCTCTGAAATACTTGTTGTTATTGTTGTTAAAAAAAAAAAGAAGCAACGTAGGGGCTGGCATTGTAGCACAGCAAGTTAAGATGCTGCTGGCGACATTAGCATCCCATATGGGCTTCAGTTTGAGTCCCAGCTGCTCCACTTCTGGTCCGCCTCCCTGCTAATGACCTGGGAAGGCAGCAGAAGATGGTCCAAGTATCTGGGCTCCTGCACCTACATGGGAAACTCGGATAGAGTTCCAAACTCCTGGCATCAACCTGGCCCAGGGCTGGCTGTGTGCATCTGGGGAGTGAACCAGTTTTTCACCCTTTTTTTGGGGGGTGGGGGGCGGAGGGGTGAGGGTAAGTGGAAACCAGTCCCGATCAACTAACTTACTCTAATTGTGGCTGACAGTTCTGGAGAAGTTGGAAAGAGTTGGATTTTTTTTTTGTCCCCTCTCCCCTCAACGGGGCAGACAAGTGCCACTAGGTACTTTATAAACACATGATTTGGGGGTTCAAGCAAGAACTCAGAGATAGTCAAGGCAGAGACAGAAGCCGAGAGCGAAAGGAATATGTCTCTCCTCTCTATGTAACTTTGCCTTTCAAAGAAATAATGTCTAAAAATAAATTTAAATAGTAATAGTTGTAATAAAAATATGGTAGTAAGTCAGTGTGCAGAGTGATAAATTACTATTTGAACTGAGACTTGATTATTCAGTTAGCCATTAAAAATTATGAGGTTAAGATTATTCTAAGAAGAGGAAAAAGAATTCAAAGGTTCTAAACAGATAGGCAGCAGTGTCACTGGAGTTCAGGGAGCAAAGGGTATGGTGGGGGTTATGACTTCAGATACAGACCAAGCGCAGACTCTCTAGGGTCTAAGGGATATAGATTAGATATTAGAAGAGTAACAGGAACATTGGTCAAATGTAGGCAGGAGAGTCATAGGATCAAACATAAGCTCTCCTTTTAAAGGATCACTTTGTCTGCTAAATGAAAATGGACTACAGCAAGACAGAACAATTTAAACAATAAAATAAATAATACCACTGAATTATAACTCAGAAAAACACAATAAATATGAGTTCAAACTCATGTAAGTAATTAAACAGATGGAGATGGGACAGATTTTCCTTCAGAATTGCAGTTTCTATAAAAAGAAGGAATAAGGGAAACAGAAGACCACCCTAAGAGCACCACAATAACAATTGTTGGAGACAAGGACTACCAACAGATGCTAAAATTAATGAGCGAGGGGCTGGCGCTGTGGCATAGCGGGTAAAGCCGCAGCCTGTGACACTAGCATCCCATATGGGCACTGGTTTGAGTCCCGGCTGCTCCACATCATATTCAGTTCCCTACTAATGGTCTGGTAAAAGCAGCAGGAGATGGCAAAGTGCTTGAGTCACTGCCACCTACATGGGAGACCCAGATGAAGCTCCTGGCTCTGGCCTGGCCCAACCCCAGCTGTGAAAGCCATCTGGGGAGTGAGCCAGTAAACTGAAGATTGATCTCTCGCTCTCCCTCTCCTTGTAATTCTTTCAAATTAATAAATAAATCTTCTTTAAAAATTGAATTAAATTAATGAGCAAAGGTTTGAGGAAAAAGGATGTAGTTGGCCCTCCACCTTTACAGGTTCCACATTAGCAGATTCAACTAACCACAGATTAAAAAATGTATTTTAGGGGGGACATTTGGCGCACCAGTTAAAACACTGCTTGAGACAACTATATCCCAACTGGGAGTGCCTGAGTTTGAGCCCCAGCTCTGCTTCCAATTCTAGCTTCCCGCTAATATGCAACTGGGGATACAACAGGTGACAGCTAAAGTCCTTGGGTCCCTGCCACTCATGTTGGGAGAACGAGACTTACTTCCAGGCTCCTGGCTTCAGTCTGGCCCAGCTCCAGCTACTGTGGGCATTGGATGAGTGAAAAAATAGGTGGAAGATCTCTGCCTTTCAAACAAGAATTTTTTTTAAAAACTTCAGGAGCAGGCATTGTGGTAGAGCAGGTTAGGCAGCTACTTGGGACGCCTGCTTCAAGTCCCAGCTCATCCATTTCTGATCTAGCTTCTTTCTAATACACCTAGGAGGCAACAGATGATGGCCCAACTACTTGGGTTCCTGCCACCATGTGGGAATCCCAGATGGAGTACCTGGCTCTTGGCTGCAGCCTGGCCGTAGTACTGATTGTTGTAGGTATGAACCACAGTACAATAGGGAGTGAACCAGTAGAGACAAGGTATCTCTGTTTCTGTTATCTCCCTCTTTGTATTACTCTGCCTTTCAAATCAATAAATTTTTTTAAGATTTTTATTATTACTTATTTGAAAGTCAGAGTTACACAGAGAGAGAAGACAGGCAGAGAGAGAGAGGTGTTCCATCTGACGGATCACTCTCCAATTGGCTGCAACGGCCGGAGCTGTGCCAATCCGAACCCAGGAGCCAGGAGCTTCCTCCAGGTGTCCCATGTGGGTGCAGGGGCCCAAGGACCCAGGCCATCTTCTACTGCTTTCCCAGGACACAGCAGAGAGCTGGATGGGAAGTAGAGTAGCCAGGTCTTGAACCGGCACCCATATGGGATGCCGGCACTTCAGGCCAGGGTGTTAACCCGTTGCGCCACAGCACCGGCCCCACAAATCAATAAAATTTTTTAAAATGTTTTCAGGGGGCCGGCACTCTGGCGCAGCGGGTTAACACCCTGGCCTGAAGTGCTGGCATCCCATATGAGAAAGAGGTTCAAGACCCGGCTGCTCCACTTTCTATCCAGCTCTCTCCTACAGCCTGGGAAAGCAGCAGAAGATGGCCCAAGTCCTTGGGCCCCTGCACCTGCATGGGAGCCTGGAAGAAGCTCCTGGCTCCTGGCTTTGGATCAGTGCAACTCTGGCTGTTGAGCCAATTGGGGAGTGAACCATTGGATGGAAGACCTCTCTCTCTCTCTCTCTGCCTCTCCTCTCTTTCTCCCTCTGCCTCTCCTCCCTCTGTGCAATCCTTTCAAATAAACAAATAAATCTTTTTAAAAAGTTTTCAGATTACTTATTTATTTGAAAATCAGAGTTACAGAGACACAGGGAGAAGAAGGGAGATCTTCCATCTGTTGGTTCACTCCCCACATGGCTGCAACAGTCAGGACTGGGCCAATGCCAAGTGCCAGGAGCTTCTTCTAGGCCTCCCACGTGGGTGGCAGGGACTCAACCACCTGGGCCATGTTTCGAAGCTTTCCCAGGCCGTTAGCAGGCAGCTGATTCAGAAGAAGAGCAGCTGGGACACAAACAGCAACTGTATGGGATGCTGGCACTGCAGGTGTTGGCTTTACCTGCTATGCCACAACACCAGCCCCATAAATAAAATCATAAAAAAAATTTTTTTAAATTCCATCTGACTTGAATTTGTAGACTTTTTTTTTTTTTTTTTTTTTCAAAAGACCATTTATGGGGCCGCCACCCGCAGTGCCCGCATGTAGTGCCGGTTCAGGTCCTGGCTGCTACTCTTCCAATCCAGCTCTCTGCTATGGCCTGGGATAGCAGTAGAAGATGGCCCAAGACCTTGGGTCCCTGCATCTGCCTGGGAGACCTGGAGGAAGCTCCTGGCTCCTGGCTTTGGATCAGCCTAGCTCTGGCTGTTGCAGTCATTTGGGGAGAGATAGCGAGTAGAAGACCTCTCTTTGCCTCTGCCTCTCTGTGACTCTCAAATAAATAGGTAAGTTAAAAAAAAAAAAAAGATCATTTATTTCTTTATTGGAAAGACTGAGCAACAAAGAAAAGGAGAGATCTTCCAACCACTGACTCACTCTCAAAATGTCTGCAACAGCTAGAGCTGGGCCAGGCTGAAGCCAGGAGTCCAGAACTCCATCTGGGTCTCCCATATGGGTGGCAGGGACCCACGTACTGGGCCACCATCCACTGCCTTCTCAGGTACCTTAGCTGGAAGCTGGATGGGAAGTGGAATAGACAGGACTTGAATCAGCACTCCAACAAGGGAGTGCTCCAATAAGCATCACAAAGGACAGATTAATCCACTGTGCCACAGTGCCTTCCCCGACATTTTTCTTGTCTTTATTCCCTAAATAATAAGCACAGCAATTATTTACAGATCATTTGCTTGTACTGGGTATTAAAAGTAATCTAGAAAGTATTAAAGCATGTTGGAAGGATGCAGACAAGTTACAGGCAATACTACACCATTTTATATATGTAACTTGAGCATCCTGATTTTGGGATCTGTAGGTGTCTTGAAAACAATCCCCCACAGATACCAACTGAGAGCCTACAAGTACCTCGTCCATATACTTACTAACTACAAAGGGGAAAACGGTTACTGTAGTGGAGAAATCCAGCCGACATTTTTTTTTAAGGTTAACACCATGAGTAGAAGACATACTGACATCCTAGGTAGTCTCCGGTAATATTTCCCAGGAGAAGCACAACAGTTTCGTGACATTCTTAGCAAAAATGCATAACTCAACCTATTCATGAGAAAACTTTAGACAAACCCAAACTGAGGAATAATTTACTGACAGATACAACATCAAAAGTATCAAGGTCGTGGAAGTCAGAGACAGAGCAACTGTTACAAACTGGGGAAATGGGGGAGACAGGGAAACCAAATGCAATGTGGGATCCTGGGACAGGAAAAGGGTGTCAGAAAACTAATGAAATCTAAATTTAGTTAAATCTAATTTAGTTAACATTATGGCACCAATGTTAACTTCTTAATTATGATCATTGCATTACAGTTATCCAAGATATAACAAGAGAAGATGATAAGCAAAGGATATATAGGAGCTCTACTTTTTGGAACTTTTCTGTACACACAAAATTTTTTCAGAATAAAAAATATCTAAGCATTCTGGAACATTCACAACAAATGAAAACAAAGCAGCTTTATGTAAGGAATTATTATAATGTCTTTCTATAACAAAATTTCTCTAAAATTCTAGACAAGTGGTTACTACTTTCATAATGGAACAAAATAATTTAGAATCAAGTAAAGGAAATCATGACTTACTTTTTATACAGTATACCATATGGTTTTTTCAGTGCGTACTGTAAAACACAAAATAACATATTTCAAAACAAAACATTCTGAAAAGCAGAGGTAAACATAAAGTATCCTAATAAATATTCCACGAGCTTACCCTGGTTCCTAAATTCTGATGTCTTCTGCTTAGCTCCCTTTTGATGAACTAAAATACCTTGTAATGTGAGTTAACATTTTAAGTTAAAGGTTTCTAAGCCCTTTCAACAGTCTGTCCAACTTAAATGATTCATTTCTTTAAATTCCACCTAGTCCATTCTCTCCAGGCAAACAACTGGACAGTAGAAAGAAAAGAGGGGTGGTGCTGTGGCATAATGGGTTAGGTCTCCGCCTGTGGCACTGGCATCCCATATGGGCACCAGTTTGAGTCCCGGCTGCTCCACTTCCGATCCAGCTCCCTGCTGATGTGCCTGGGAAAGCAGTGAAGGATGGCCCAAGTGCTTAGGCCCCTGCCACTCACGTGGGAAACCCAGAGGAAGCTCTTGGCTCTTAATCAGCCCAGTTCTAGCCACTGTGAGTGGAAGGTACCCAACCACCTGAACTTTCAATACTGGGCCCCCAGGGTCTCCATTAGCAGGAAGCTCAGATCAGGACTGGAGCTGGGTCTCTAACCTAGGTACTCCAATAGAGAATATGAGCATCCCAACCCATGTCCTAACCACTGGGTCAAACACCTACTCCTATTTTTCCATACTTTTTTCAGCCCATCCACTGATAATCAGTTATTAGTTATGTGGCCAATACTGCCCTACCACAGGGAATATCAAAGATCTATGGCAGGGGTCACAATTGTGGCACAGCAAGATAAGCTGCCGCCTGCAATGTCAGCATCCCATGTGAGTGCTGGTTCTAGGCCCAGCTGCTCCACTTCTGATCAAACTACCTGCTAATTCACCTGGGAAACCAGCAGAACTGACACGAGTGCCTGGGCCTCTGCCACCCAGAGGGGACACCCGGATGGAGTGTCCTGGCTTCCTCCTGGCCCAGCCCCAGCTGTTGCACCACTTTCTCTGTAACTCTGTCTTTCAAGTAAACAAAATGCATAAAATGGTATTCTGAGTGGCTGGTGTTGTGGCACAGCAGGTTAAGCTACCACTTGTGATGCCAGTAGCCCATACAAGCACCAGTTTGAGTCCCAGCTCTCTGCTAATGTGCCTGGGAAGGCACCAGAGGATGGCACTTGGGCCCTTGCTACCCACATGGGAGACCCAGATGGTGTTCCAGGCTCCATGCTTTGGCCTGGCCCAGCTCTGGCTGTTTTCTTTGTCTCTCCCTCTCTAACTCTGATTTCAAATAAATACATAAATCTTTAAAATAAATAAATAATTTTAAAAAAAGAAAGCTCTATCGCAATGTCTTGCATTGGAGAAAAGAGTAAATGAGGAAACAACAAATATGGTGCAATCTTTTTTAAAAAAGATTTTTATTTATCTATCTGACAAGTAGAGTTACAGACAGTGAGAGGGAGAGACAGAGGGAAAGGTCTTCCTTCCCTTGGTTCACTTCCCAGATGGCCACAACGGATGGAGGTGCACTGATCCCAAGACAGGAGCCAGGTGCATTTTCCCAGTCTCCCATGCGGGTGCAGGGGCCCAAGGACTTGGGCCATCTTCTACTGCTTTCCCAGGCCATAGCAGAGAGCTTGGTTGGAAGAGGGGCAGCCAGAACTAGAACCAGCACCCATATGGGATGCCGGCACCAAAGGTGGAGGATTAACCTACTGCGCCACGGAGCTGGCCCCATAGTACAATCTTAATTCATCAACTATCAGAGCTGTGAACAAAGGAAATTCACCAGGAAGTTTTACCTTTAAAACTGTCTTAGGGGGGCCGGTGCTGTAGCATATAGGCTAAGCCTCTGCCTGCGGTGCTGGCACCCCATATGGGTGCTGGTTCATGTCCTGGCTGCTTCTCTTCTGATCCAGCTCTCTACTAACAGCCTGGGAAAGTCGTGGAAGATGGCCCAGGTGCTTGGGTCCTGAACCCACATGGGAAAGCCAGAAGAAGCTACTGGTTCCTGGATTTGGATTGGCCCAGCTCCAGCCACTGAAGCCATTTGGGGAGTGAACCAGGGGATCGAAGACCTTTCTCTGTCTCTCCATCTTTCTGGCTATATATAACTCTGCCTCTCAAGTAAATAAATAAAATCTTTTTAAAAAAAAAAATCTGTCTTATGGGGCCGGCACTGTGGCATAGCTGGTAAAATCTCTACCTGCAGTGTCGGCATCCATATGAGCCCCAATTTGAGACCTGGACACTCCACTTCTGATCCAGCTCCCTGCTAGAGCACCTGGAAAAGCAGTGGAGGACACCTCAAGTGCTTGGGCCCATGCACCTGCATAAGGGACCTAGAAGAAGCTCCTGGCTTTGGATCGGCTCAGTTCCAACTGTTGTGGCCATTTGGGGAGTGAACCAGTGAGACAAGGAAGACCTCTCTGTCTCTACCTCTCTCTGTAACTCTGACTCTCAAGAGTTACTTATTAGCTGGCGCGGTGGCTCAATAGGCTAATCCTCTGCCTTGCAGCGCCAGCACCCCAGGTTCTAGTCCCGGTTGGGGCGCCGGATTCTGTCCCAGTTGCCCCTCTTCCAGGCAGCTCTCTGCTATGCCTGGTAGTGCAGTGAGATGGCCAGTCCTTGGGCCCTGCACCCACATGGCAGACCAGGAGAAGCACCTGGCTTCTGGCTTTGGATCAGCCCGATGCGCCAGCCGCAGCGCGCCGGCCGCAGCGGCCATTGGAGGGTGAACCAATGGCAAAGGAAAGCCTTTCTCTCTCTCTCTCTCACTGTCCACTCTGCTTGTTAAAAATAAAAAAAAATAAAAAATAAAAAAGATTTACTTATTTATTTCAAAGGCAGAGTTACAGAGAGAGATCCTCCATCCACTGGTTCACTCCCCAAAGGGCTACAATGGCTGGAGCTGGGCCAATTTGAAGCAAGGAGTCTCTTCCAGGTCTCCCATGCGGGTACAGGGGCCCAAGCACTTGGGCCATCTTCCATTGCCTTCCCAGGCCATAACAGAGAGCTGGATTGGAAGTGGAGCAGCCAGGTCTCAAACAGGTACCCATATGGGATGCCGGCACTGTAGGCAGCAGCTTCACCAGCCATGCCACAGTGCCGGTCCAGGAAGTCATCCTTTTCACTAACGCCAAGCTCTCCTACTTCCAACATCTGTTGTCTCTGACCAGCTCATCACTTTCATTGCCAACACCAAACTCCAGATGTGCTTTACCTGGCTGACTGCAACAGCTTCCATTTCTTACTTTGCTCTCAGTCGTCTCTAATCAAGGCAATTAAAAGAACTGCTCAGATGGCTCAACTCCAATCTTTCGGTCACTCCACAGTTTTTCTGTTACTGTGGGACTGCTGCCTCCTCCTTTAGCTTCAACAGGCCAGCTTCCCTTCGGCCAGTCCGGAGAGCTGTCCTCCACATGCTTACGCCCCTCACACCTGCCCTGGCACAAGCTCCTTCCTCAGTTTAAAAGCCCCTCTCATCCACTTCCACTTCTTGCTCCAACTCCTTCCAAATGAAGGTTAAGTGTGATGGCTGGGAGGCCCGCCTTGTGTGTGGGACCCCTGCAGTGCGCCTTTAACTGTCCGATTCTACCATATGCATGCCTCCAGCACAGCACTTAATTTACAACATGTCCAATTTTTTTTTTCCACATTAAAAACTGCCTTATTGGGGCCAGCACTGTGGCGCAGCAAGTTAAGCCACTGCCTATGACTATGGTATCCCATATTAGAGCATCAGTCCGAATACTGGCTGCTTCGCTTCTGATCCAGCTCCCTGCTAATACGCCTGATGAAGCAGTGGAAGATGGCCCAAGTACTTGAGTCCCTGTCACCCATAAGGAAGACACAGATGGAGCTCCTGGCTCCTAGCTTTGGCCTGGCCCAGTCCTGGCCGTTGCAGCCATTTGGGGAATGAACCAGCAGATGGAAGATCTCTGTCTCTCCATTCTCTCTCTCTCTTTCTCTGCCTCCCCCTTTTGGTAAGCAGCAGATTCTACAGTTCCTTGGCTCAGTTACTGCCCACCAACCATGACAATTCCACAACACCACAATCCTGCCCCTGTCTAACTAAGCTCACTAAAGAGAGGGACTGTGTCTTTTTTTTTTTTAATTTATTCATTTATTTGAAAGTCAGAGTTACACAGAGAGAGAAGGAGGAGAGAGAGAGAGAGAGAGAGAGAGAGAGAGAGAAGGAGGGAGGGAGGGAGGGAGGGGTCTACCATCCACTGGTTCACACTTCAATTGGCTGCAATGGCCAGAGTTGCACTGATCTGAAGTCAGGAGCTTCTTCTGGGTCTCCCATGGGGGGTGGGGTATTCTACTGCTTTCCCAGGCCATAGCAGAGAGCTGGATCAGAACTGGAGCAGCTGGGACTTGAACCAGCGCCCATATGGGATGCCAGCACTGCAGGCAGCGGCTTTTATACCAGAGCATTGGTCCCAGACTGTGTCTTACCTAATTTATAATTCCCAGCACCTAGTACAGTAACTGGTATTGTAGAACATATAAATTATACAATAACATGCGATTATTTCACTTTATATAAAATAGATATCTTCCTAAAATGTGGGTAAACCAAATTCCAGAACTGAAAACCAGTTTAAGTTTACTAAGGGAACCAGCTGCTTTAAGGCAAACCAGTAGTCAGGGCCTTGGGGAGGGCAAATAATCTCCAACTTCAGCTCTTCTCTAAGGCCAGTAGGTTCAGGAAGGAAACATGTACCAACATTCTCCTCCAGCAGCAATCTAATTTCCTGAAAGTTTCTAAGACAATTCAATACCACTTAAATGTAAGCATAGGGTGCACGTTCAGTCTAACAGTGAAGATACGGCTGAGATATCCGTTTCCCACACCAGAGTACCTGGGTCAACACCAAGCCCCAGCTCCTGACCCCAGCTCTCAGCTACTGCAGACCCGGGAAGACACGGCGATGGTTCAGGCACAGGGTTCCTGCCACCTACATGGGACACCAGGACTGAGTTTCCAGCCCCTGGCTTCAGCCTGATCACACAGGCATTTAAGAAGTAAGACAGGGCGCTAGCTCCACCTCTCTCTCTCACTCTGCCTCTCAAATAAACACAAAAATTAAAAAAGAATATAAGTAAACAATAAGTACACATACATACCACATCTCTAAGCACTTGTGTTACTGTTGCATTTGCGTTGCCCCCTTTAATCAGCATGGCATTTTTAATATTTTCATTCAGCTTCGGTTCTCTCTTCTCAAGGAATCTCTTGGCCCGTTTTGTTTTGGGCTTTCTGTTCAGAAAATAATGCACAACAGTTTAAACATTTTCTTCACACTGCAAAAGCATGGCTTGACTAATGTGCAAATTCTTAAAACTCAACAGACATTATCCTAATATATTGTCGGGTTAGGTTTCCAGCACTAAACAAAACTCACTTTTTAGGGAGCTAGTAATAAATACACGTATTTAATACTGCTAAATATGTGTTCCACAACCCACCCTCACAGCTCTACGATGGACTGTCATGAAAGCTCTTTTTACAGAATAAACTGAACTTTACAAGATTTACGTTAACACCCAAGTGCTCAAACTCTGGATACACCCGCAGCGTCGCCCAGATCTGTCAGGCTCCGAGGTCTGTGCTTTTAACCGCTCGGGAAGCCAGCGGATTTTTAAATGCTAGCACAAAAGCGGCCAACGCCTGAGTCCCAGCGCCCATCCCGCGGGTCCCCTGGTGGGCTTCCCTGCTACGTCTCCGACAGGTGGCACGGGAGAGGGTGATCTGCCGCCACCAGGAACGACTGGGAAGCGGCGTCGGGCAGGAGCGACAGCCAGGAAGAGAAGGAAGCAGAAGGGTACCACGCCCGTCACCAGAGCCCCTGTCCTCGACTTCCCCGGGACGAGGACTCAGCGCACGTACACTATCCGATCCAAAGGGTCCATTGCTACCGCGGCCAAGCCAAGAAAACACACGTGCACCTCGCGGTAACCGGAGACAGCCGCGAGCGTCGCTCCAGGCGGAACCGGAAACTGCGCGTGACGCCACTTCCTGGGACGACCCCCGCCGCGGAGCTGGCGCCCATTTTTGATAGGCTCACGGTCTGTTGCCTTGGTTACGGGTTTTCGCCTTGGCTCGTCCCCGGAAATTACGGGTGCTAAGCAACGCTTTTAGTAACGCAGCCTCTCGCCACTGACGTCCAGGACTGTATGTATTACCTCAAGTCGGGTATTCAGAAGCCAGGGATTATTCTTCTGGAATAGAAATGGGTGCTGGCGCCGCGGCTCATTAGGCTAATCCTCCGCCTAGCGGCGCCGGCACACCGGGTTCTAGTCCCGGTTGGGGCGCCGGATTCTGTCCCGGTTGCCCCTCTTCCAGGCCAGCTCTCTGCTGTGGCCCGGGAGTGCAGTGGAGGATGGCCCAAGTGCTTGGGCCCTGCACCCCATGGGAGACCAGGAGAAGCACCTGGCTCCTGCCATCGGATCAGCGCGGTGCGCCGGCCGCGGCGGCCATTGGAGGGTGAACCAATGGCAAAGGAAGACCTTTCTCTGTCTCTCTCTACACGGTCCACTCTGCCCGGTGCATAGGTGTAAGATATATATATTTATAATAATCAAACAAGAAATGGGTGCTGATGGGGTCGGTGCTGTGACATAGCGGGTAAAGCCGCCGCCTGCAGCGCCGGCATCCCAAACGGACTCTGGTTCCAGTCCCTGCTGCTCCACTTCCTGTCTGGCTCCCTGCTAATGCGCCAGGAAAAGCAGCGGAAAATGGCCCAAGTGCCTGGGCCCCAGCACCCCCACTGAGAGCCCTGGAAGAAACTCCTGACTCCCGGCTTCCAAACTCTTCCTTTCAAATAAATAAATATTAAAAGGAAAGAGAGACCAGCGCCGCGGCGCAGTGGGTTAACGCCCTGGCCTAAAGCGCCGGCATCCCGTATGGGCTCCGGTTCAAGACCCGGCTGCTCCTCTTCTGATCCAGCGCTCCGCTAAGGCCTGGGAAAGCAGTAGAAGATGGCCCAAGTCCTTGGGTAGCTGCACCCACGTGGGTGACCCGGAAGAAGCTCTTGGCTCCTGGCTTCTGTTTGGTGCAGCTCCAGTCGTTGCAGCGGTTGCGGTCAATTGGGGAGTGAATCATTGGATGGAAGACCTTGCTCTGTCTGCCTTTCCTCTCTGTGTAACTCTGACTTTAAAATAAATAAATAAATCTTAAAAAAAAAAAAAAAAAGAAGCCAATAGAGGGATTTCTATACAAAAATAAACTTCTAAAAGAAAGAAAGAAATGGGTGCTGGAAAGGATGATAGCATGGTGGGTACTCGTAGTCATTAAAAGTATGACTGTAAAATGGGTGCTATTTACTAAACCATGAGATTAATAAGTCAGAGTTTATGACACTGCAGTTACCTAGCATATAAAACACATGCCGAAAATAATGTTCCTGATTGTGATTTTTTGCAATTTTTTACTGCCATATAATTCACATACCATAAAATTCATTTCCTTTACAGTTCAGTGTTTTTTGGTATATTCTCAAAAATGTGCCACCACCATCATCATCATCTAATTCCAGAAAAATTTGTCACCCACTGACAATCACTCCCAATTTTTCCTTCCTACCAAGCCTTAAAAACCACTGGTTTTTTTTTTAAAGATTTATTTATTTATTCAAAAGGAGGAGTGAGAGAGGGAGAGGGAGAGGGAGAAGGAGAGAGAGAGAGAGAGAGAGAGAGCGAGAGAGAGCGCTTCCATCTGCTGGCTCACTCCCCAGATGGCTGCAACAGCCAGAGCTAGGCCAGGCCTATCCGAAGCCAGGAGCCAGGAGCTTCCTCTGGGTCAACCATGCAGGTGCAAGAGCCCAAAGACTTGGGCCATCTTCTACTGCTTTCCCAGGCCACAGCAGAGCGCTGGATCGGAAGTGGAGCAGCTGGGACTCGAACCAGCGCCCATATGGGATGCTGGCACTGCAGACGGCAGCTTTACCTGCTATGCCACCATAAGGGCTCAATAAACCCTTTTATTTCAGGCATCTCTTGGTCTCTGCAATGTTGGCTTCACATCACCCTGAACACTTGTGTACACGTTTCTGTGTAATATGTTTGGAGCAGAGTGGCTAGATCAAAGGTAACCCTAAGTTTAACATTTTGAGGAACTGCTAAGCTGTTTTGCAGAGCACCTGCATGATTTCTCACTCCTATTGGCAGTGTATTAGAGTTTGGGATTAGTTTTCTGTTTCTGTTGTAACAAATTTACTGGCTTATAGTAACACATATCTGTTATTTTGTGGTTCTGGAACTCAGAAGTCTGAAATTAGCAGGTGTAAAATTTAATGGGTCTGGGGCCGGGGCTATGGCGCAGCAGGTTAACGCAGGTTAACGCATCCCATATGGGCATTGGTTCAAGACCTGGCTGCTCCACTTCCGATCCAGCTCTCTGCTATGGCCTGGGAAAGCAGTAGAAGATGGCCCAAGTCCTTGGGCCCCTGTACCCGTGTGGGAGACCTGGAAGAAGCTCCTGGCTCCTGGCTTCAGATCGGTGCAGCTCCAGCCGTTGCGGCCAGTTGGGGAGTGAACCATCAGATGGAAGAACTCTGTCTGTCTCTCTCTGTCTCTGTCTCTCTCTCTCTCTGCCTCTCCTGTCTCTGCCTCTCCTCTGTGTAACTCTGGCTTTCAAATAAATAAATAAATCTTTAATAGGTTTAAATTAAAATGTCAATAGGACATTCCTGGAAGCTCCAAGGAAGAATCTGTTTCTTGGCCTGCGCCGCGGCTCAACAGGCTAATCCTCCGCCTAGCGGCGCCGGCACACCGGGTTCTAGTCCCGGTCGGGGCGCCAGATTCTGTCCCGGTTGCCCCTCTTCCAGGCCAGCTCTCTGCTGTGGCCAGGGAGTGCAGTGGAGGATGGCCCAGGTCCTTGGGCCCTGCACCCCATGGGAGACCAGGAGAAGCACCTGGCTCCTGCCTTCGGATCAGCGTGGTGCGCCGGCCGGCCACAGCGGCCATTGGAGGGTGAACCAACGACAAAAGGAAGACCTTTCTGTCTCTCTCTCTCTCTCTCTCTTTCTCTCACTGTCCACTCTGCCTGTCAAAAAAAAAAAAAAAATCTGTTTCTTTTCTTTTTCAAGCTTCTGGAGACTGTACGTGTTCTTTGGAATTTTCGAAGGATACTGAACTTCTACTTACATTGTCACATTTTCTTTTTCTCTGATAGTCTGACACTCCTGACTCCCTCTTACAAGACCACTGTGGTTACGTGGGCCTCACCTGGATAGTCCAGAATGTTTTCTCCATCTTCATATCCTTAATTATACCTCAAGTTCTTTCTCTCTGGCCACAAGATAACAAACCCCTGGGATTAAGGCATGGATACCTTTGAGCTTGGGGGTAGAAACGGATATGATTTTATCTACTATAACTTTTCATTCCTCCCACTCCTGATTTTTTTTTCTAATTCCAGAAAAATTTATCACCCACTGACAATCACTCCCAATTTTTTTTTTTTTTTTTTTTGGACAGGCAGAGTGGACAGTGAGAGAGAGACAGAGAGAAAGGTCTTCCTTTGCCATTGGTTCACCCTCCAATGGCCGCCATGGCCGGCGCACTGCAGCCAGCGCACCGCGCTGATCCGAAGCCAGGAGCCAGGTACTTATCCTGGTCTCCCATGGGGTGCAGGGCCCAAGCACTTGGGCCATCCTCCACTGCACTCCCTGGCCACAGCAGAGAGCTGGCCTGGAAGAGGGGCAACTGGGACAGAATCCGGCACCCCAACCGGGACTAGAACCCAGTGTGCCAGCGCCGCAAGGCAGAGGATTAGCCTAGTGAGTGGCGGCGCTGGCCAATCACACCCAATTTTTCCAATTTTTGACCAATACTTACTGTTGTCCATCTTTTTTATTAAGCCATCCTAGTGGGGATGAAGTGGTATTTCATTGTGGTTTTCACTATTTTCCCTGATGATAAATAATGATCTTTGCATATTCTGACTACCCACCTGTGCAGCTTCTCTCTCTAGCAGAAGAGGAGGAGGACAGGAACATGCCTGTTCAAATATTTTCCCCATATTTGGGGCAGGTGTTTGGTACAGTGGTTAAGACACCATTTGGGATGACCATATCTCATACTGGTGTGCCTGAGTTCAAGTTCAAGTCCTGGCTCCACTCTCCATTCCAACTTTCTGCTGACGTGCACTGTATTAGTCCACTTTTTGTTACTTTACCTAAAATGCGAGAGGAGTTTCTTGGGAAACAAAAACTTTGTTTCGTCCCACAGTTTGACTTTACAGGATTGGGCGGTCCTATAGTCCAGCATGTGGTGGATGCTGGTTATGGCAGGTGCACCAGCCATGATCACATCATGAACCAGGAAGAGAGCAAGCCTAGCTCAAACTTGAACTGAAATACTCAAACCTTTAACATGAACCACCCTCCTAGGTTCTGCCTCCAATGACCCAAAGACCTCCAATCAGCTCCACCTCTGAGATGCCATTGTTAGATCAGGTCTCCACCCTTACTCCATCAACAGTAAGACATCAGAGTTTAAACAGCCAAAAGAATTTTGGGGAAACAAATCCTGCTCAACTCATAAAAGGCACTCTAGGAGGTAGCAAATGATGACCCAACTATTTAGATCCCTGCCACCCATATGGGAGACCTCAGTAAGTTCCTGGCTCTGGCTTCAGCCTGGCCCAGCCCTACCTCTTAGGGACGTTTTAGGAGTGAACCAGTGGATAGAACACCTCTCTGTAACTCTGCCTTTCAAATGAATTGAAAAAACAAGATGAGTTTGGTGCTTTGGAAAATATGAAAGTGGCTATGAACTCTGTTCTCCTCCATCAGAAGTAACTGAAATTAATGAAGCCCTTGCAGAGAATCCAGGAGTCATCAACAAATCTTGTTATGAAGATCAAGATGACACTGAGTAACCCTTCAGAACTAGATGGACTAATGAGTGAAGAAGCCTAAGAAATATGTAAAACCTATTGGGAATGAAAGTAGAACCCCTACATGAACTTATGTGCAATAATTTAATCTAGCACAGTTGTCTTAAATTAGTGACAAACAGA